ACAAAATTGGAACGAAAAATTGCAAATAGAAAAATTAAAAATTGAAAACTCGAATAACTCAAATCGAAAAATTACAAAATCCAGAAATTGAATGGAAACGTTGCAAAATTGAATAATTTAAATTTGAAAACTAGAAAAAATGAAGGAACGAAAAATGAAAAATTGAAGACAAAATTCAAGGAAAATAAGGTGCGGGAGCGTTATTTACGCTATTGGTTTTTACTTTATAGAGGTTATCAGAAAACAAAAATCGCAAAAAAATGATAATTTTTAGAGAAGTGGGATTTGTTTGGCTGCATTTCAGGGGCGAGGGAAGTTCCGTTGAAATAATCTTCGACTAATTTTTTTAATTTTTCATTTCTCAATTTTCTGATATTTCAATGATACTATTTCTCAATTTTCGTCTTCTTCAATTTTACGATTTCCAAATATTTCAATTTTTCAAAATTTGAAGTTGAACCTAAATTTTCAGTTTTCCGATTTTTTAAGTAACTTTTTCTTATTTTCCCATTTCTCGACATCCCAAAGTTTCGATTTTTCACTTCTTCAGTTTCTCGATTTTTCAGGTTTTTGATTTTTCAATTTTTCTATTTTTCAAGCTTACGATTTTTCGACGTTGCTTTTTTAGTTTTTCGATTTCTCAATTTTCCAATTTTTTAATTTCTCAAGGTTTTGGATATTTCTTTCAGTTTTGGGATTTTTCAGTATTTCGACTTTTCCACTTTTCGATTTCTGGACTCATGGATTTTTTGAATTCTCGTTTTTTTACTTATTGGATTTTCAATTTTTCGTGTTTTAAACTGAGATTTTTCAGTTTTTCGACTGTTTTACACTTCGATTTCTCAATTTTCGATATTTTAACTTTTCAATTTTTTAAATTTTAGGTTTTTCGATTTCTCGAGTTTTCAGGTCTTCTATACTTCAATTTTTCAATTTTCGGAATTTTTAAATTCTCAATTTTCCACTGTTTTGTTGTCTTAGATTTTTCGATTTCTTGATTTTTCAGTTCAATATTTCTATTTTTCAATTTTTTAATTTTGACATCTCGGTTTTACGTTTTTTACAATTTTTCGACTTTTCAGTTTTAGATTTAACCGTCCAAAAAGTGGAAAATCCAAAAACTGGAACACCTAAAAATGAAAACTTTATCGTAACTTTAAAGAAAAAAAAAACGAAAAATTGAAATATTGCAAATTGAAGAACTGATGAAATGAAAAATTGAAAAAAAGTGAAATTGAAAAAACAAGCAATTATAAAATTGGAACATTGAAAAATTATAAAAATCAAGAAAGTAAAAATCGAAAGAAAAAGTTGCAAATAGAAAAATTCAAACTTGAAAACTCGAGAAACTGAAACCGAAAACTACAAAATCTAGAAATTGAATGGAAAAGTTGAAAATTTGAAAAATTTAAACATGAAGATTAGAAAAAATGAAGGAACGAAAAATGAAATATTGAAAAAAAATTCAAGGCACATAAGGTGCCACTGGTTTTTACTTTATAGAGGATATCAGAAAACAAAAATCGCAAAAAAATGATAATTTTTTCAGAGAAGTGGGATTTATTTGGCTGCACTTCAGGGGCGAGGGAAGTTCCGTTAAATAACCTTCGACTACTTTTTTTAATTTTCTATTTCTCAATTTTCCGATGTTTCAATAATATGATTCTTCAATCTTTATCTTCTTCAATTTTATGATTTCCCAATACATATTTTGATTTTTCAATTTTTCAAATTTTGAAATTTCTAAACTCTGATTTTTGAAGTAATCTTTTTTTTTATTTTTCCATTTCTCGACATCCCAAAGCTTCGATTTTTCACTTCTTCAAATTTTCGTTTTTTTAAGCTTACGATTTTTCGACTTTGCTTTTTTAGTTTTTCGATTTCTCAGTTTTCCAACTTTTTAATTTCTCAAGCTTTTGGATATCGCTTTCAGTTTTGGGATTTTTTAATATGTCGATTTTTGGACTCTTATATTTTTTGATTTTTCGATTTTTTACATTTTGAGTTTTCAATTTTTCGTTTTTTAAACTTCAGATTTTTCAATTTTTCGACTGTTTTATACTTCGATTTTCAAATTTTCAGCTTTCGATATTTTAACCTTTCAATTTTTAAAATTTTATTTTTTTCGATTTCTCGAGTTTTCAGGTCTTCTATATTTCAATTTTTCAATTTTCGGATTTTTTAAATTCTCAATTTTCCAATTTTTTGTTTTATTTTTCGATTTTCCAATTTTTCGATGTTCTATTTTTTTTTATTTTTTCATGTTTGGTTTTCTCTATTTTACAGTTTTTCAATATTTGAATTTCCCAAGACGAGACGCAAAAACATGTTTTTATTTCTTGTTGTTGCTAAGATAAAACTGATTTTGGCAAATGATATACCTTCTAAGAAAAGAGAGGGTGGGTGGGCGGGCCTAGTTCTTTCTAAGAAAAAACTGATTTTGGCAAGTGATGTATCATCTATGAAAAGAGAGGGTGGGTGGGCGGGCCTAGTTCTTTCTAAGGTGAAACTGATTTTGGCAAATGATGTATCTTCTAAGAAAAGAGAGGGTGGGTGGGCGGGGCTAGTACTTGTAAGTAAGACTGGTTGTGGCAAATGACATACCCTCTAAGAAAAGGGTGGGTGGGTGGGCGGGGCTAGTACCTGATAAGACTGATTTTGTCTGATAAGATACGTTCATTTACCAAAATCAGGCTTATCTTAGCAGGTACTAACCCCGCCCACACTCTTTTCTTTGAACGTACCTCATTAGACAAAATCAGTCTTATCATAGCAGCTACTAGCCCCACCCACCCTTTCTTTTTTTAGAAGGTATATCAGTTGCTAAAATCACTCTTATCTTGCAAGACACTAGCCCCGCCCACCCACCCTCTCTTTTCTTAGAGGGTATCTCATTTGCCAAAATCACTCTTATCATAGCAGGCACTAGCCCCGCCCTCCCGCCCTCACTTTTCTTAGAGAGTATGTGATTTGCGAAAATCAATCTTATTTTAGCAGGTACTAGCCCCACCCACTCGCCCCCTATTTTCTTGGAGAAATCTCACTTACCAACATTAGTCTTATGTTAGCAAGTACTAGCTCAAATCTCTTTCAAATTCATAAAAAATAAAACACTAAACGTTCAAAAGTTTTTTTTCAACTTCATCCAGCAACAAAACACCAGATTCCTTAAATTTATCCGGAAATAAAACACCAGCAGATTTTAAATGAAAACCAAAACGTGAGTATCGTATTGTTCAAAGAATACTATGTACATTAAGAAAAAAAGGCAAAATATAAACCCCGCCCACCCACCCCGTCTCAATTGTGATGACATTTTTTTATTCGTCATTAGCCAGGGGAGCGGAGCTTAACTGCAAACTCCTTAGTTCTCTAGGAAAAATTAAAAACATGTTTTTAGTATCGTTTTGTTCAAAGAATACTATGTATATTAAGAAAAAAATAAATCCAAAGATTAAGCCCCACCCATACCTGTCCTGATCTAAATAGTAATCAAGTTTTCATTCGTTGGCAGACCGAGGGGACGAGCCTAATTGCAAAATCCGTATTTCCTTACAAAAATTTACCATTTCAAACGTATTTTAAGTTTCTAAGGATAAAAATATCAAACAATGGAGATGGGGTGGGTGGGCAGGGTTTTATATTTTGCTTTTTTTTTCTTAATATATATATAGTTTTCTTTGAACAACACGATACGCAAAAACATGTTTTTAATTTCTTTTAAAGAAGTATTTTGCAGTTAAGCTCCGCCCCCATTTGTCCACAGCGAATAAAAAAAATCATCACAATTGAGACAGGGCGGGCATAGTTCCTTGCAAAAATGTACCATTTTAACCATTTTTAAATTTCTTGTTGTGAAAAGATGGCTATGTATATTAAAAAAAAAAGACTAAATATAAGCTCCGCCCACCCACCCTAACTCAATTCGGATGCTTTTTTTTATTCGTCGTAAGCCGAGGGGCGGAGCTGAATTGCAAATTTCTTATTTCTCTACAAGAAATAAAAAACATGTTTTTGAGTATCGTGTTTGCTCAAAGAATACTATATATACGAAGAAAAAAACAAGCCAAAAGTGAAAGTCCACCCATATCCATCCCAAGTCAACGGTAACGTCAACGGATGATAAAACGCATACCTTCGCTGCGTATTTATCTTACGTCAACGGCGAACAGCAACGTCAGCGAAAAGTTTATAAATCGACCTTAAATGTGTAAAAAATGAGAAACTAAAAACTTCGAACTGGATTTAGAGAAACAGAGATCTGACGGAGCTTTGACATCGCATCGGCAGTCCAAGGAAAGCAAAGCGGAAGCAACCGATCGAAGGAATAAAGAGAACAAATATTGGACAGAGATATATCTGGTGATCTAAAATCTGACAAAATAGTAAATATTTGTTTACGTTAAATTGATTTATACCGCGGATTATTTAGATAAGATTAGAAAAATGGGTTTCTAACTGGGTTATACACGATATATGAACAGCGAAGCCACACGAAAAAATTCGATAAATTTTAATATAAATACAATATTGGGTAATTAAATGTATTTATTGTGTTCAACGTTAATTAAAAACGATTGTAAAGGCATCAATAAAAAATTACGTCTGTAACCTTGGACAACCATTCGAAAGCTCAAAATTTCCACATACTGCAGTAATAATTTTTTTAATCAATTTTTCTTTAATTTTTTTTTTATATTGATTACCAGTTACACGTCAAACAAGCCCACAAACTTTAATTAAAAATACCATTCATCACTGGCCCACTTTTCAGTATCAACTTCTTGACACGTGCCAGGAACATCTGCCAACAATAACACTAGTAGCTCCTAATCCAGCAGTAATCATGTACTCCAACTCCTGCACAACAAGCCACCGCACAAATCATCGTCCAAGAGCCCAACACGCATATGTCTTGTGCGTTGTTGGAGCGCATATTCCTGCTGTTGAATCCTGCAGATCCTGCAACAAGCGCGCCAGTTAACGCGCGTCTTCTGAACCAACAAGTCGGGAAGAAGTAGCCCATAACTCCCACAACTCCCGAATTATGCACGAATATTTTTAGGTTTTACTATGTTTACAGTACGTTCGTAAGTAAAAGGCAATAGGTGAATTTGATAAAGTAAATATAGACTTGTCGAAGAAAAAATAACTTTGTTAAAAATAATGTGGCACGGACGTGTTTACAACAACTGACAGCGGCTTTCAGAAAAACTGCTCTCGCGTCACTGATTTTCGGTAAGTTTGTCGTAATTAAGAGAGTTTGTGTCGTTTCCAAACTTCTTAACTTTGAGAAAGACGTGTTTTATTGGTCGTAATTGGTTAATGGAAGCATAAATGCGACGTATGGTGGCGGATAATTCGATTAAAATTCGCGATTGAGTTGTGTAATAGAATGTCAGGGCTAATTTGAATGAGGAACGCGTTTCGGTGGAGCGGCGATTTTTCTAGTTTCAAGGCTTGCGATAAGTTGGAAAAAGTTTTAACACGATTTGAATACACTGAATTCTGAAACTGAATAGGTTTTTTGAGAATGCAATTCTCGTGTCCGTGTACATTTAGATCTGGTATTTATTTTATACACGAAACAGTGGTTCTGTCTATTTTGAACTGCAGACAAAACATAACTACCTGAAATCAAAATAGTACCAGGTTTTTGTCACTGTCGCGATTATTTATTGTGGCTGTAACGATCTGTGTAAATATTGCGAAAGTACGAAATTTTCCACATTGTTGCAAAACACTACCTCAGTAATTCATATGCAGCTTACGTTTATTAATTTTATAAAATTGTTCAAGAGCCTGCTTTTAATATTCTCGTTAAAGAAGTTTTTTCAGACGAGGTGATTTAAACGGGGAGAAATTGCTGCAACTTTAAAATTTTTCATTAAATACAAAAACTAAGTGATTTAAGCTACGTTTAATTCAAAAGTTTTCTTTTTTTTGACACCATAATAATAATAAATATTACTAGTGGAATTGAATGTTACACTCGGAACGAAATCGTAACATTGGATTGGATTTTTCTGTACGACATGCAAAAAGACAATAAATTCATACTGGAGTAGATACATTTGCGAAATTGATGTGCACTGCATTTCCAAATTTAAATAAAATCTGACTTCGTGCAACTGACGTTCCAACATTTACATATTTTTCTCTATTTTGAATAATAAATCGTAGCGAATGCAACATTAATCAATTTAGTCCGATTTCTTTATGTTAGGAACAACAAGGCTATGAATGTAATGTATTATTTATTGCTGAGGAATTTTTATATCATCATTCTTGCTTTTATAACCCCCATAAACAAGCTAATGGCAACCGAATCAACGCTAAAGTGCCGCTTATACAACTGTGTGTGTGTCAAGCCAATACCACGTTGTGAAATAAACACGATTTCCGTGATAACTTTTATAATGGTGGTGGTTAATGAAATCTAAAATGTCCTGAGAGCGATCTATTTGATCTTTTATTAGCGAGGTTCAGCTGAACAAATCTAGACCTGTGTAAGTGTGACTTAAGAATAAACTTGGCACTTCAGCCGTGTCACTCTCTGTGTAAGCATAACAGTAATAATCATAAAATAACGATGCTTTTCATTGTTAACTGTGTGTATTATTTTTTATTAAACATGTATTAATTTATTTCATTTATTTAATCATCACCGTCGCCTACAGACCAGAGCACACTCAGGCCAATATGGTCTATAAGCGATTTATCTGTAAGCCGACTTTCGTTAGAGCTAATCTGATACACATCCACTACGAAGAATCCTCACGTAATCTCCAAATTTTAAAATAATGGGGGTAATTTAATTCCTCAATTTTTCGATTTTTCAGGTTTTTGACTTTTCAATTTTTCTGTTATTTTAAGTTTACGATTTTTCGACTTTGGTGTTTTAGATTTTCGATGTCTCAATTTTCCAATTTTTTGGATATTTCTTTCAGTTTTAGGATTTTTCAATATTTCGATTTTTTGACTTTTCGATTTTTGGACTCCTGGATTTTTTGATTTCTAGTTTTTTGGATTTTCAATTTTTCGTTACACTTTAGATTTTTCAATTTTTAAAATTCTAAGTTTTTCGATTTCTCGAGTTTTCAGTTCTTCTTTATATCAATTTTTCCATTTTCCGAATTTTTATATATATTTTCGATTTTCCAATTTTTCGTCTTTAAAATTTGTCGATATTTCAATTGTTTAAGTTCTCGATTTATCTAATTCAGATGATTCGATCTTTTGATTGTTCAATTTCTCGATTCATAAATTTTTCAATTTTTAACTTTTCTTCTCGGCTTTCAACTCCTCAATTTCTCGATCCTCTGATTTCTGGATTTGATTTTTAAATTTTAGATTTTCAATTTTTTGTTTATTTTATTTTTCATGTTGAGATTTCTCGACTTTTCAATTTTGCGATATCTTAATTGTTCAATGTTTTAAACTTGAGATTTTTCGATTCAATTTTTAAAATTCTAAGTTTTTCAATTTCTAGAATTTTCAGTTCTTTTTTATTTCAATTTTTAACTTTTAACTTTTCTTCTCGGCTTTCAGTTCCTCAATTTCTCGATCCTCTGATTTCTCGTTTTGTCGATTTTTCGGTTTTTCGATTTTTCAGTTTTAGATTTTCGAAATTTTTTGTTTGATTTATTGATGTTGGGATTTCTCCAATTTTCAATTTTACGATATTTTAATTGTTCAATGTTTTAAACTTGAGATTTTCCGGTTTCTCGATTTTTTGATAACGCAGTTCTTCAGTATTTCTCTTTTTCAAATTTTAAAATTTTAACGTTGCTGAATTTTCAATTTTCCGATTTCTCAATTAATCTATTTCTGTTTTCCCACTTCTCGACTTCTCAAAATTTCGATTTTTCGGTTCTTCAATTCTTCAATTTTTCGACTTTGCTTTTTTGGCTTTTCGATTTCTCAATTTTCCAATTTATTAATTTTTCAATTTTTGGATATTTCTTTCAGTTTTGGAATTTTTCAATATTTCGATTAAATTTTCAATTTGTAAAATTCTAGACTTTCAATTTCTCGAATTTTCCATTCTTCTATATTTTAATTTTTTAATTTTCCAAACTTTTAAATTTTCGATTTTTAAATTTTTCATTGGGTCTATGTTTTGATTGTTCAATCTCTCGATTTATCAATTTTTCCATTTCTAACTTTTCGATTTTTCGATTTTGACCTATTTATGTTTCGAAACATCGAACAATTAAAAAATAAATTGGAAAACCGAAAATTAAAAAATTCCGCAAATTGAAAAATTGAAATATAGAAGAACTGAAAACTCAACAAATCGAAAAACCTAAAATTTTCAAAATTGAAAAGTTAAAACATCGAAAAGTTGAAAAATTGACAAATCGAAGTATAAAACAGTCGAAAAATTGAAAAATATATAGTTTTAAAAACAAAAAATTGAAAATCCACAAAGTAAAACGTTGAATTGAAGAAAAAGTTAAGAATCGAACAACTGAAAAATCACAAAACCGAACGAAATATCCAAAAATTGGGTAATTAAAAAAATTGAAAAATTGAGAAATCGAAAAGTCAAAAAAGCAAAGTCGAAAAATCGCAAACTTAAAAAATCAAAAAATCGAAAAATCAAAAAATCTAAAATCATTCAAAAACTAAAATAACGTAGAATGGAAAAACGGAGAAATTCAGACATCAAAAAATTGGTCGAAAGTTGTTTCAACAGAACTTCCCCCACTCCTTAAGTAGAATGAAACAAAAAATATCAGACTTTAATTTAACACGTTACTATGGAAATTTGCAGTTTAATACCTTTTAAATTTTACAAGTTTTTACGAGATTAATAGAGGCAAAATCAGTTTTATCTTAGCAAGTACTAGCCCCGCCCATCTCCCCCCCATTTTCTCAGAGGATAGATTTTGGCAAATCACCTACTCTCTAGAAATTCAAGGGTGGGTGGGCGGGGCGTAGTTTCCGCTAAAATAAAACTGATTTTGGCAAATGAGAGTCCTCTGAGAAAATAAAGGGCGGGTGGGCGGGACTAGTTCTTGCTAAGATAAGACTAATTTTGGCAAATAACATACCAACTGAAAAAATAGGGCCCAAATCTAAAAAATATGAAAGCATTGCTAAATCACAAGTAAAAACTCATCATATTTTGCACATTTTGGTAGAATTTATTCGGCAAAATTTTGAGATGAGGTCATCAATTTCTTGGGGGGAATAAACAGATATATTTTGGTTACATGCTTACAATGAACTTAAAACATCTGCAAGATTTCAAAGTATTCATTTTTGCAATTAATTTGATTTCTTCAATAAAATAAATTGATTGAGTCATTAATTTTTTTTGAGTCACCCTGTATAACCAAATTTAAAATATATGAATGCATTGATAAATTACGATCATATTTTGCACATTTTAGATAGGATTTATTCGGCAAAATTTTGAGTTGACGTCATAAATTTTTTGGAGTGATAAGTAAATGTTATTTTATATTTTTGACTTATTTTCCAAAAATCTGGACGTTTCGGGTAAAAATTCAAGACGGAGTCATAAACTACCGGTGTAGGACTATGTTATTTTATACAATTTAAAACCCATTTACTATGTACTATTTTGAGTGACGTCATCACATTATTGGTGGGGATGATTAGACAAATTTTGAAGAGCGTTTTGCCATCTACATCATATTCCTAATATATAATATAAATACAAAATTTGGCAACAATCGACCTAGTACTTTCTGAAATTATCTGTCTAATAAAAATTCGGGGTGGCAGACAGACGGATAGACAGACGGACAGACGGAAAAGGGAGACCTATTCCTTCGTACTGTAAGGATCATGATATGTCGAGAAAACGTAAAAGTTGGGAGTCGGCCGACGGACTCGATTACAATACTTCTTTCGCTTACGCTCGGGAAGTAAAAATCAAAAAAATCAAAATTCGAAAATTTAAAATTTATAAATCGAAAAACTGAAAAATCAACAAATCGAGAAATCGAAACATCCAAAAATTCAAAAACTGAGACATCAAGAAAACCAAAAATGTGACTAAAAATATGTAAAAATTGTCACATTATGTTTGTAAATAAAAGCATCATTTCCTGTAGAAATTCTGAACACTTATAGTCGACATTGGCCTGAGCGCACTCCGGTCTATAGATCAAACAAGTTCTCAGGCGAGGTGTTGACATTTTTTTCAACTGTATTTTTATTTTTAGAAAGAACACACTAATCAGTCTTTTGATAAAAATGTA